CAACACCAGCATCCCATATGGGTGTCAGTTGGAGTCCCAACTGTTCCACTTCTGATCCAGCTCCCTGCTTATAACTTGAAAAAGCAAAAAGAGGATGGCTTAAGCTCTCTGGGCCCCTGTACCCACAAGGGAGACCTGGAGGAAGATCCTGGCTTCTGCCTTAGAGCCAGCCTAGTTCTGACTGTTGTGGCCATTTAGGGAGCAAACCAACAAATAAAAGATATTTCTCTGTGCCTTTTCTCTGTGACTGTTCTTAAAAAAAAAAAAAAACTCTCTGGGAAGTGCGAGCAAGCAAATCAGACTTTTATTCAGGCAAGTATTTAAAGTAGATGTGAGACTGCTGGTTTGTCCAGCTGAACAGACTACCCAGTCTCCATAAGAAATAAATTCTGCAGGATGGATATCATAGCATAGTATGTTAAACCTCTATCTGTAGAGCCAGCATCCCCTATGACTGCCAGTTCGAGACCTGCTGCTCCACTTTCCATCCAGCTCCCTACGTACAGCCTGAGAAGCCAGCAGAGAATGCTCAAGGCCTTGGGCCCCTGCACCCATTGGGGAGACCCACAAGAAGCTCCTGGCTTCTGATCAGCTCCGCTCCAGAGATGTGAACAAACAGATGGACGGTCACTCTGCCTCTCCCTTTCTCTGTAACTCTGCCATTCCAATAAGAGTAAATAAATCTTTTAAAATAAGTAAATAAATAAAATCTGCAGGCATGGGCCTGACACGATAGCCTCAGTTTGAACTCGCCCGGGATCCCATATGGACACTGATTCTAATCCTGGCTCCCCCACTTTCCTTCCAGCTCCCTGCTTGTGGCCTGGGAAAGCAGTCGAGGACGGCCCAAAGCCTTGGGACCCTGCACCCACATGGGAGACCCAGAAGAAGTTCCTGGCTTCTGGCTTTGGATCAGCTCAGCTCCGGTGTTGTGGCCATTTAAGGAGTGGACCATTGGATGAAAGATCTTCCTCTCTGTCTCTCCTCCTCTTTGCATTCTGCCTTTCCAATGTAAATAAATAAGACTCTTTCCAATAAAATTAAAACATTTTTTAAAAATCTGCAGGCAGATGCAAACTACTAACAATGCAATCTTTTTGTCCTGCACTCCCCAAAACTGAGAACTCAAACAATCATATTTTATAACATTCTGAAGTCGCTAGAAATAATTATGCCTTTACAGCCCCGGAAGATAAAATGCCATTTAAAAAAAAAAATCAAGTCATGATTAGATCAGCTGAACATTTAAATACACAATATTTTCCTTGGAACTGTTATCGGCATGGAGGCTCCATGACGACATTTGGTTTGGCTACACTGGTAACACAGCTGCCACCAGGTACGCACGGCTATTTAAACATGAATACAATTAATAATCAATCATAATAAAACTAAGTCATTTCTTTAAAGTTCACTTCCACAGTCCCATCTGAAGTGCAGCTGCCACACATGCTGCTGACTGTCATACTGTACAGCCAGGAACCTCACAGCTAGACAAACCCCCAACCAGTGACATCACCAACCTCTCAGGGACCGAAGCGGACTCAAGCCCTCTGGACATCCATGTGGCCCAGCGGACACTGTACCCGACTGCTATCCTTCTTTTAGTGTACCATCTCCCTATCTAAAATAGCTCTCAAATGGTTGAGAAGTGTTGCTTTGGCTCATTGCCTCTACCAGATCCTCAGTGAGCAGGCCATTAAAAAGCCACCCTTTGGGCCCGGTGGCCTAGTGGCTAAAGTTCTCATTTGGCACACACCAGGATCCTATATGGGCACCAGTTCTAATCGTAGCTCTGCTTCCCATCCAGCTCCCTGCTTGTGGCCTGGGAAAGTAGCGGAAGACGGCCCAAAGCCTTGGGACCCTGCACCTACGTGGGGGCCCTGAAGAGGCTCCAGGCTCCTGGCTTCGGATTGGTTCAGCTCAGCTCTGGCCATTCACTTGGGGAGTGAATCAGCAGACAGAAGATCTTCCTCTCTGTCTCCTCCATATATCTGAGTTTCCAATGAAGATGAATCAGCTGAGCTGATCCTAAGCCAGGAACCTGGAGCTCTGCACGTGGGTGCAGGTCATAAGGCTTTGAGTTGACCTCGACTGCTTTCCCAGGCCACAAGCAGGGAACTGGACAGGAAGCAGGACTGCCGCGATATGAACTGGCACCCTGATGGGATCCTGGTGCGTTCAAGGAGAGAACTTTAGATGCTAGGCCACAACGACAGGCCTGAATCTTTAAAAAAAAAAATGAGGATGCAGATTTTTTTTTTTCTGAAAAGCCACCCTTCAACAAGCAAATAAGCCTTTTCCACAGTGAACAAAAATCAGATGGTGTCAAGTATGAAAGATAAATTAGCTTCTCCTCACCAAATTACAGAAATAACAGAGAAGCAGAGATACTAACCACGGCAGAGCTGCAGAAGAAAACGCAAGTCCCAATCCCTCCCCTGCCTGCAGGGCCCTATCATTACCTCCACTGCCATCCCCAGCGCCGGACTATTTTTAGTTAGCCCGCTGAAGGCATCTTCCAATTCTGGCTTGGGATGCAATTATCACTTCACATCCCACATTTTAAAAGCCACTTGATTTGTTATCAGTTGGTGAGAAAATACATGAACTCATTTATTTGCACATTTTTTAATATTATGCAGTCTAAACGGCAAACTCCTATCCTCACAAGGCCTTTATCGTGAGTGGTTTGTTACGCTTCCACCTGCAAAGCAGGCTTCCCAAATCAGCACTGAGCCAGTCTCAGCTGCTCCACTTCCAATCCAGTTCCCTGCTGATGTGCATATGGGTACCAGTTCACATTCCTGGCTGCTCCACTTCCAACCCAACTCCTTGCTTACAGCCTAGGAAAGCAGCAGAGCATGGCTCAAATCCTCGAAACAGCACCCACGTAGAAGACCCTAACGATTTTCCTGACTTTGGATTGGCTCAGCTCTAGCCATTGCAGTCATCTGAGGAGTGAAACAGTGAATAAAAGACTTCTGTCTGTCCTCCTCTCTCTGTAAATCTACCCTTCAAATTAACAGAACTTCTTTTTAAAATAGCAAAAATGTTTAATGTCTATTTTCCCACAATACTTAAAATGCAATCAAGACAACTGTCTACACTCTGAGACTATCCACTTTTCATATTAAAAATAATCCTTTTCCTGACAAGTTTCCAAAATAATATAACACTTCACCTATGCTGGAATGAAAATCCAAACATTTCAAAGGTTAAAGATAAGTTAAATTTAATTAAAAACTATTTTCAAATATTCCCCACCATTTCAGTATCAAGAAATGTAACATGACGCTACTAAATGAAACATTATTTCTATCTGAAGTGCAGAACCTCCAATTGAACTTATACAGTGTTACAAATTGAGGAAACGTTTTTTTAACCTAAAACCTATCTCGAACTAGGCAATGTGCTCATTCCAGCCTTCGCAGCTATTCCAACCCTCAATACACCACTACTCTCATCACCCTCACTTCACAGGATCATTCAACGGAGACAATTCAGTTCATGCGAAACAACAAAAGCAAGCAAGGGTCAATCCATCAGGGAAAGGGCTGAGACACAGCGGGCTATCATTGGGACACACAGCTCTGGCCTCCCACTGCAGCTTCTCCCCTTGGAAGCAAGAATAACTCCAGGAACTGGGCTCCTGCATCCGGCCTGGCCCAGCCCTGGCCATGGTGGGCATTTCAGAAGGGGAGAGAGGGAACTTTCTCTGTGTCTCTCTGCATCTCAAATGAACAAACCAACCCTCCCACCACCCCCAGTCACTAAAGGAGGAGCTGAGCCAATGCTGAAGTGTTAGACTTCCGAGCTGGTGCAAGGCCACAGGGCACAGGCTGGTGCTAGTCTGGTATCGGAACACAGCAGAAGAACCACCGCACTCAACTGAATTTGGTGTCAAGAGCCACCTCACTCATAATTATATATACATAAATTCTGATCATCTGGAATGGAGTCCAGAAGAAGGAAAAACCTCACATCTTAAAGAAACCCCAAAATACCTTGATATAAAACTGATCTCTTTCAGAAAGAGGTCAGATTGCAACAACCAACACCTGTTGTCTTGCTCCTATTTTTCTAGGGGGGGGGGAAAAAACCTCAACCTGTTAGTTATTTCACTATAAGGAAACGAACACCCATGGTGTTAAAATCTTAAGGAAACCTTTCCACCCATATCTAGCGTACATATCTTAACGTTGGATCACACCAGGCATTAAACTAAGACGGGAGAAGGCTTATCAACACTAACAAATTCCAGACTCCCGAGTGGTTCAGGCCAGACCGAACCAGTGCCGGATCTGAGCCGCCTGAGGTCTAGCACGCCCAACCGTGACACAGACATGGGAGTCAGGTAGGAGACCGCCCATCACACACTCCCTCTGCGTGACTATCAACAAACAGGCTCTCTCCCGACTCCACTCCGCGGGTGCCACAGCAGTCCTCCCTGTGAGCACACCGAGTCATGCCACACAGGCTCGGGGCTGCCTGCCAGCCTCTGCTCCCGCTTGGGACCCCGCGGAGGCGCCCACGCCTGCGAGGCCCCCCGAAGCCCGCGCCACTCCTCCCCGGACACGCGGAGAGCCGGGGGGCCTGGCACCTGCAACTTCAGGGGGGCTGCACTAAGCACACGTTCCAGAGAAAGCACGCCAACTCGGCGGCTACGGGACAGTTCAACATCGAAATTCAGTAAAGAACCTTCACGAGCAGGTGCGTTGCATTCTAGTAAAAAGTTGATTTGAAAAGGGGAGGGGGGAGAGGAGCAAAGAGCAAGGTTCAAGGGTCCCTTAGTCTTGACTTTTAAGAACAGGGTAAAAAAAAAAAAAAAAAGGAAAAGTTTGAGTGGCTTTCCCCTTCCCCACCCCCACAACCGGCTGCTCCACTAACTCCGGGGCGGCGGGGGAGCCCAGCTCGCCGGTCCCGCAGCCCCCCGGGAGGCAGCCGGCCCGCTTGCCCGACGCCCCCCGCCCTCCCCACAGCCCCGCGCGCCCGCTTACCGGCATCATCTTGGCCCCGTAGCGCATGGACGCGGGCGGCACAGACCGCGCGGCGGCCGAGCTCCAGCGAGCGCCCGGCGCCGGGCTGCGGGGGAGGGGAGCGCGGAGCCCGGCGGGGCGGCCGGGAGGCGGCGGACCTGTTGCGAGGCAGGCGGGAGGCTCGGCAGGGCCGTCCCCGCGGGCTGGGGCGCCAGCGAGCCCCGGGCGCACCCCACTCGGCGACGGGCTCCCCCACCGCACCCCGTCGGACGCGGCTTTGTCTCCTCGGCGAGGCGCTGGCGACGGGCCGGACGCCCTCCTCCGCTCCGAAACCAACTAATCCCGGGCCGGGCCCCGCCGAGCCCGCGCCGGCTCCGCCCCCGGCCGGCCCCGCCTGCCCGTCCGCCCGCCGGGTGCCCGCGGGGAGGCGGCCTCGGGCCCCGGAGCGGCGCGCGCCTGCGCGGACACGGCTGCGGAGTGGGCAGCGGGGGGCCCCGCGGCCTCTCCTAGCCCTCGGTGCGGGGCCCCCCGGTGCGGTCCCGGGCGCGCGCGCATCCTGGCCGAGTGGGGCGTCCTGAAGGCGACGCCTCGGGAAGAGAGGGAGACGGAAGACGCGCGAGAAGGAAGGCCAAGGCTGCCGCCTCTGCACCCTTCCATCCCACGCCATACCGAGGAGTGCCCGGGAGTCGAACCCGTGGCCTGCCTTCGAAGCCGCGGGCCTGGCCTCGGCGAGACCGACCCTCTGCCAACAAAATCGGACACGCCGGTCGCGCCTCCCCAAAGTTTTCCGGGAGACTCTTTGCACTCGGGTGCCTTGGCTGTGGTTAGCCATTGTCCACGGCGTAATTGCAAACTCAGTTTAAAAAAAAAAAAGAAAAGTAACCTTCAAAAATCATTCAAGTGGATTTTATGCGTGTGGGACCACGATTTTAATGGCAAAGAGCTTCAGAATGTGCAAAGCGGCTCTCGGCCCTTGAGCATCTCCCCTAAGCCTGTCCAACCGGCTCCGCTTAGGGCTGCAGAGACCATGGGTGCTCTGCCTGGAAGGGCGCGCTCGCACCCACCTTCCTGCAGACTCAAGCTCCAGGAAGCCCTGTTTGCAGTACTTTGTGCCACTCGGTCAGGATCACTTTTCTGTTTTAACTGAATCTACAGAGTGAAGCATCCGCTGCTTGTAACATAGTCCTTACTGGAAGTGACCTCACACTCCCAGTTGCACACTCGCTACTTCAACTGGAAAATTTACACTGTTGATATTCTTCAAAAATATAGGGGCAGGGGCAAACCCTGTGATAATAGGGGTACCAACTCCCCACTGGTTGGAGTCCAGGCTGCTCTACTTCTCATCCAAATAAAATAGACCAAGTATCAGGACCACGGTATCCCGGTAGAAGACCTGGGTGAAGCGCCTGGCTCCTGCTTTGGGCCCAACTGCGGCCTTTGGAGCCATTTGGGGAGTAAAATAGCAAATGTTAAGATTCCCTTGTTTCTTTCTCCCTCTCTGTGTGCGGCGGCCTTTCAAATAAGTCAAAAAAAAAAAAAAACCAAAAAACAAAAAAACTGGGGCAGTACTTTGGCCTATGGAGTAACACACAGTTTAAAACTCCAGTGGTGGGTCACGTGCAGTAGTCTATTGGCTAAAGTCCTCACCTTGCATGCACAGGGATCCCATATGGGCACTGGTTTGTGTCCCAGCTGCTGCACTTCCCATCCAGCTCCCTGCTCGTGGCCTGGGAAAGTAATCCAGGACAGCCCAAAACCTTGGGATTCTGCACCCGTGTGGGAGACCCAGAAGAAGCTCTGGTTTAGATCGGCTGCAGACAATGAAGTCACTTAGGGGGTGAAACAGCAGATGAAAGATCTTTCTGTCTGTCTCTCCTCTCTATAAATATGCCTTTCCAATAAAAATAATTTTTTTTAAAAAATGTCCACTGGTACCCCAAACCCACCTCATCTGCTGACTCCAGCCACCTGCTAACTGGATCCCTCTCACCCACGTGGGAGACCGAGATTGACTCCCTGGCCCCTTGTCTTCACTTTTGGGTATCACAATATTTGGGAAATGACCTAGTAGGTAGAAGCTTTGTGTCTCTGACTCTCAATTTTTTTTAACTCTATTTTACACGTATGTGTGGCAGTGCAGTGGGTTAATCTGCCACTTGGGATGCCTGCGTCCCGTGTAGGAGTGCTTGAGGTTGAGTCCCAGCCTGTCGGAGACCAGCTCCACCAAATTTGGAGCTCGGGAAGTGTGCATGGAGTTGGCAATAAAGACACGGACACTGTCACTTGGTGCTCTCTCGCAACAGCTCAAGAAGCTGTCCTTTTTATTTACTCAGAGACATCACAAGCTTCTACACAAACAATTAATTGTTCTGTTTTTACTTCAAGACTAGGGGGGCATGTACAAACATTTGGTCATTCTGCCTGTACTTCAGGGCTAGGCAGGTGCCCCTAAACATAATTCTGCAAAATACTGTATTCATATTCTTCAAAGCAAGCCTTTACTCATTCTTCAGTAGTAGCCATGGAGTGACAGCCAGGACTCCAAGGCCAAGCCACATGCCATTACCTGCTAATCAGTAATACATTCCTACTATACTTCTATTTCCACAACTTGCCCATTATTTAATGGGAGAAATATGTTACAAGGGAAAAAATGTAAAAATCCAAGACAAAAGTTTCAAATATTAAATCCCCCTACAATTACAAGCTCTATAACCCCATAAACAATCAAACAATAATCAAAAGCATCTCTGACATTAATAAAATCACATTATAATTCCTCTAGTCGTCGCGAACACTGAGCCCGGTCACTCGAACAAACGCCAAGAGTCGAGAGTGGATGCTTTGCAATCAAGCATTTATTCAAGCGAGCACACACCGAACAGGACGGGGGAAGCCACCCAGAGCGCCCTTGACTTCAGTCTCCTGGAAGTCTGCTGGGCTTTGGTTCCAGCCTAGTGGGAACCTGCTGGGCCTTTGGCTCCGGTCTAGTGGGAGCCTGCTGGCTTCAGTGACTGGGACCAAGGCATGGGTTTTTATACCATTCAGGGAGTCAGGCAAGCAGTTGTTCCAATGTTTTGATTGGTAAATGTTGCTGATAGATAATATTACATATTATCTATCAGCAACATTTGCTTATCTATCAGCAACATTTGCTTTCTCTTAGTTCTGAGAAACATAATTTTTCTTACATATTTTTTTAAAGATTTATTTATTTATTGAAAAGTCAGATATACGGAGAGGAGGAGAGACAGAGAGGAAGATCTTCCATCCGATGATTCACTCCCCAAGTGACCACAACGGCCAATGCTATGCCTATCTGAAGCCAGGATCCAGGAACTTCTTCCGGGTCTCCCACGCGGGTGCAGGGTCCCAAAGCCTTGGGCTGTCCCTTGACTGCTTTCCCAGGGCACAAGCAGGGAGCTGGAAGGGAAGTGGAGCTGCCGGGATTAGAACCGGTGCCCATATGGGATCCTGGTGCGTTCAAGGTGAGGACTTTAGCTGCTAGGCCACGCCACTGGGCCCTTTTTTACATATTTATCAAGACACATTTTCTTCTTCTTTTTTATCATTTTTACCATAACTTGTTTTTTATGACATGCTTACGTACATTAGGGCTTTGTAACAGGAGTGAAAGGAGAGGGCTTAGGCACATCGGAGCTTCTTGACAAGGATGACAAGGGAGGACTTGCACACAGGGGAGTCTGACAGGAGCGATAGGAGAGGAGCCCCATTTCACCAGCAGCTTAGGAAGATGGAGTCACCTCCGCCCAAAACTCCAACATCCATACTATATCCATTATCAAGTCACGGCATAACTTACAGAAAAGGTCTGTTATTGTAGCTATTTCTGAGTCATCAATCTCAGATAAAAGTGTAGTAATACTAAGGATGTAATTAAGGTTATTGATAATATTACTACCCATATTTCCCATGGATTCATTTTTATCTATACCCATTTAAATATGTATTGATGGAACAGTGTAGATGCAGATGGGAGTAAATAAACACTTATAACTAGACTGTTCCTATCACTAGTAAAAAAAATATTAAAGCAGCTAAGATAACTACATTTTCTATGTAGTTGCTCTAAAGAGTTGCGAGGATAGGCCAAACTTTAGGGTCACAGCAACTATATTTTCTGCCATAGCATTTTCAACTCATACTCCCCTCACTTCCGTTAGTTTGTAAAATTCTTATCAAGCCAATTCCCAGAAGACATGCTACATGCCTGGGTCAGATTCCAGAGCAATGGGTAGGCACACAATAAGGTGTCCAGAAACAGCATGGGCTTAATTGTACTCCTGTGTGTTGTTAAAGGCCCACTTACCGAGACATTATCAGTAATATTAACTCCCAAGCTCACAATAGTTACAAAAGGGGCAAACAACAATGCCTCAATCAGTTACAGAATTCCTCGTGGGGTGCTTGAGTGTCCATGCAAAAAGGGGGAGAAACTGCATCAAGGTGGAGGCATCCGCTGGGCCCTGCTAAACAGGGGAGCTGTTCTCTTCACACCTTCGTGCCATCCATACCTACTGCACGGACCCCAGCACTAGCCACTCCACCCTCCCAAGTCAGTCTCCTGACAATGCACACCCTGGAAGGCAGAGGATGATGGCCCAGTGGGTGGCAACACCAGTGAGGTTCTGGGATCCTGCCTTCTACCTGACCCAGCCCCAGCTGTTTGGAGCATTTGGGAGTGACCCATGAATTGCAGAATTCAACTCTCCACCATTCTTTCAAATAAATAAAACTTTGTCTAAAATCTAGCTTAAACTCTCATTGTTTTTAAAAGCATTATCCTAAGTTAAAGAAAAGGAAATCCATCCATTCATCTGTTTAATAAAATTTATCAAATGAGATGTAGCATTCTCACAGTGTCTAAAACTAAAAAATCAGGCCCAGCACGACAGCCTAGTGGCTAAAGTCCTTGCCTTGCATGTACCAGGATCACATATGGACACTGGTTCTAATCCCAGCAGCCTCCCTTCCCATCCAACTCCCTGCCTGTGGCCTGGGAAAGCAGTCGTGGACAACCCAAAGCCTTGGGATCCTG